GTATTACCCATGGGTGCTGGGTCGGCAGGGTTTTGTGATGATTTTACGTGCCTCCTACCCTTCTGCGTTGGATACTGGCTAGCTGATTTACCACAAAATAATGACTCTTGTTGACTGATTATCGGTGTAATAAAGCACTTCTTGCGAGTCCTTCTAGAGAACGACCGCGGAGAAGTTAGCTAAACTCTCAATAAGTAGCTTGTGGACCCCGGCGGCGAATGCGGCGGCAGCAAATTCTACCCTTGGAATGGTTACGGTCTTCAACGGAGCAACGCTAGATTTTCCGAAAATCGAACGGTAGACTCCCGACCATCGTTTGATACAAAACGTGCGTATAAAGCAACGTCATAGCCCGTTTCTGATACGTCTGAGCACATATAAATCTCAGGGTTACAGACACACAAAATCGTCAGGGGACAAGCATCTTGGGTGCCGCACAACTCCAACCGACTTGACCAAGTTCAACCATGAGTGCCATGGAATTGAACGATCTACGCTAATGGGAGAGTCCCAAACATGACTGGCCTTACATGGTTCTTGTAGCAGCTGCTTTGCGTTTAAGCATACAAAGGCTATCGAAATGCGGACAAACAGCTGCTAGGATTCCTTTCCGTGTTAATGCATTTTCGGGAATACGAAAGCAAAAGCAAAAGATGTTAAGGGAGGGATCACATTCAACGCTGAACGCTCGCTACCAATTCATCGTTTCTACTATGGTCTCCATTTGTTCAGATTGTGGGAGCCTTTGCAGTACATCAGGGTATTACTCAGCCACTTATGAAGGTGAAAACCCTCTTTTGACAGTAGCTCGGTTAGTCTTTGCACAAAACCCTGCGCCAGTCACGGAAGACACAGGCACCAAGCAGTCACCTAGGCAGAAGTTGTTTAACACGGATGATTCAATTCTAGGGCCTTCATCACTGCCGAAAATAGACGCTGTTTGTCGGGATGCGGAACTGGCATAGAATGCTGGAGAGATGGCAACGGAAACATAAAAAGTCATTTGAAATCCAATAGGTTCACAAACGGGGTCGTTCTGCGAGAAACATAAAAATTACAAAGCCCCTTGATCAAGCTATGGTACGTGAACTTGCATGAACATTTCTCCGACATTTGCAACCCGGTCTGTTCGCAATTTCAAAGAAAACCTGCCAAATCAGCAGCTGTATCTGGTCCCCAGTTGAGCATGTCGTTCAGCAATCTTCCGTGGTGCTAAAATGCACAGACAAATACAACCCTCATTTTCCCACGCTTTCTGGGGGTTAATACTGCATGGTGAGGTGGGTATCATTGTAGTGTTGTTAGCTCAGAGAGAACTGGCACTGCATAACGATTCTCGGGATTCCGTGGCATAACTGGAGCATATGTATCGAAGTATTCTAGATCATGCGGAAAACGTCTTTGCAATGAGTGCAGTCGTGGTAAGGCTGCCAAAAAGTTCAAAAAACCAGTATTTCACTCTGCTTTCTACGGGAATGTTACAAAATACCTTCTAAAATGTTCCATCCGTGCGCTCACCAATTCCACTGCACGCCTGTCCTCGATCGATATGGTTTATTGAAGCAAATCAATGTCTACAAAATTGGCAATATATATATATCCCCCGCTGATGGCTTACTGACGACATTCAGCTGGCGGCGACTCTTCCACGGATACCTAAATTCAGTGGCTCAACTATAACCCAACCCAGCAGTGTCTTTACAGGAAGCGGTTTTTTGACCTCTCAACCACAAGTCTGGCGCCAAATGAGCTTCAAGATCATCACAGCCAACCGGTTTAGGCGGAGCATCCTCAAGGAACAATTCTCTCAAATGAGGCCAATGACTTGCAATTCCCGAACGTGAATCCACGATCAATAATGGCAGAATTTCAGCTAATAATGAAGCACCCTTCACCAAAATGACCTTGTCATCGCTGAGTGGACACACTTCGAAATATCCACATGCTCACACCGCTAGCAAAGACCCGCTGAATTTTGTAGTTCTTGCGGCGATCGATGATTCTCTGCGCCGAGTTGGTATTGCAAGCATGCGACTGTGGTATTATACACGCTGTCTAAGAAGGCACACGTAACCATTTCTGCCGAAGGTCCGCTTAGACGAACTGGGAGCAGTCACAAGGAAACAGCCATCCTGCAGTCAGTCGTGGCAAGGCTTTCGACAACAGGAACTAACACCGGTTTTCATTCGAGTCTCGAATACACGAAAACGTTGTGTTAAGATCGGCATCCATCTACCCATATCGATACAGTGGCTGGTAATCCCTTGCCTTGTGAACCCTTTCGAGGCACTGAAATCAGGGACTGAGAAATCTCAGGGTGGACCATATTTTCACTAGTTCAAAAGGCACAACCAGCCCTCACTCAGCGATACGGTGTTAACCACCACAAACCTTACAACCCGTCTCACTCAATAGTAGGACCCGCTCTGCCTAAACGACTGCATGACCCTAAGCTGTTCTGCTCTTGTCCGCATCTGTGACAGATTAGTGATGTACACCGAGGTTTCTTTGCGCTATACCAGCCCAAGAGGTGATTGACATCCAAAAACCACGCTGGTCAACGCTGAGTGCTGTAACGTCTGTTCGACTTCTTGAACATCAATAACAAAGGTTAGCAAGCAAACCGGCAAAACTGAACAAATGGACATGCAAGTGTGATGTGCTATAAAAATAAAGGTGGTTACATGGATACAGAATCACAAAACTCGACGGTTCCTGACAAACAGTGAGGTACCCCAAAATGCAAGCAGAGCCGAAAATAATCAACA